GTTGTTGTAGTTTTGAAACAGGATCTCTTATAACTTACCCTGACTTAAAACTGGTGATCCTCCTTCCTCCACTTCCCAAGTACTGGACTCACAGAAGTGCTCAGCCACACTTGGCTTTGTTGGTGTCTTTAAGGTAAACTTTGCTTGAAATAAGCTGAGACATTTCCATATTGCCTTTGTGTGAGTATGCATGTGTCTGTTTCCTGGTGCCTTCATTTCTAAATAGCCCTAAATTGGAGGTGTCACACGTCATCTTCAGTGTCTAAGTTCAGATCAAGAATGAGACCCATATAGTCTGATTGGGCTTTCTGCTCCTGTGTCTTTTTATGTCATCCCATCCTATTGTCCTATTGTCATGTATCACCATTTCAAAACCCCAGCCCAGGTTCTTACCTCTAAGCAGTAGCAAAGGTTGTCATATGGTTTTTCACTTGAGAAAGCAGCTCCAAAATAGAAAATTTTATTTAAGTGGACTAATCTGTGAATGGCTTAGTGGCAGATCTGTCCTGTCTTCCTTTTGAAGAGTTTGTAGGAAGTATGACAAGACACCATGGTAGGAACATACTGTCAGCCATGTCAGATGTCACATAGGCCTCTAAGCCAGGAAATCTGGGGCAGCATCTACTGAGCAGCTGGAATGGCTTTTACAATTACTTTTGAATCAAGTGATACCTTTTCTTTAGCCCTTCAGGTAAAATAGTTTCTTCCTGAATTTTTTTTTTTTTTTAAGACAGGGTTTCTTTGTGTAGCCCTGGCTGTCCTGGAATTCACTCTGTAGACCAGGCTGGCCTCACCTCAATCTGGCTGACTACTTCCTTTTTTTGTTTTGTGGTTTGGGAAGTGTTTTTTGTTTTTTGGTGTTGTTTTTGTTTGTTTGTTTGTTTGCTTGTTTTGTTTTGGGTTTTGGGTTTTTTGTTTGTTTTGTTATTTTTTGTTTTCGGGGGGTTTGTGTGTGTGTATTCTTGTTTTGTTTGGGTTTTTGAGACAGGGCTCTCTGCAAAACAGTTCTGGCTGACCTGGAAGTCAGAAGAAATCTGCCTGCAGCTGCCTCTCAAGTGCTGGGAATAACACACCCAGCTCAGATAAACTAATTTCTTGGGTTGTACCATTCCAGAGATACAGAATCAAGAAGTTGTGTATTCCTTTCGTGTGACTAGTAGCACATTACAGTAGTGCTCCTTCTGCTGTTTACATTTAACAGATATCTGACTGTGTGACCCCACTGATTGCCAGTTAGAGCTTGTTTTCCAGCATTTTCTACTACAATGTATAATTAACTCCCTTGTACATAAAAGTAAAGCTTCATACTTTAGGCATGATTCTTTTTGACTTCCCCATCTATGGCAAAATGGTCTTGAGTGAGTACAGCTTCTAAATCCTAGGAAAAGGTGGTGAAACAGTAGCTCGCTACAGAAAACAAAACAGCTTTGTAAGTCTGAGTGACCAGCTTATTGGTAGAGCAGAGCAAATGACTAGCATGTACAAGCCCTGGCTTCATCCTAGCACTCCCCCCCACCACCCCAAAAAATGAGAGCAGTTTTTAAATTGCCATCATCAGATCTAGGAATGTAACTTAAGTAAAATCTTTGTTTAGCATGTATAATGCTCTGGATTTGATCCTGATTACTGCATTAATCAGACACAGTGATATACACCTATAGTCATAACCCTAGTAGCACTTGAGAAGTAAAAATAAAAGGATCAAAGATTTAAGGTCATCCTTAGTAACATATGGAGTTTGAGGCCAACCTGGGCTACATGAGATCATTGCCTCCAAAAATTAAAATTAGTGTGGTAATGAATGCCATTAGTCCCAGCACTTGGGATACAGTCCCAGCACTTGGGATACAGAGGCAGGCAGATCTCTTGAGTTCAAGGCCTGGTCTAAGGACTGAGTTCCAGAAAAGCCAGGGCTACATAGAGAGACACTTTGTCAAAAAATAAATAAATTTAAATTTAATTAAGGCCAGCTCTGGTAATGCGCACACTTTTAATTGCAGCATTTGAGAGGCAAAGGCAGGCAGATCTCTATGCATTTGTAGGTAGCCTGGTTGACAGTGAAAAACCCAAGGGTCTAATGAATACCAAGCTAGACCCCGTCCCTCCCGATTTATTGATTTATTTGTTGCTTTTATTATTTATTTAGTTTTTAATACTGAAGAGTTACCCAGCCAATGGGCTGGAGAGATGTTTCTGTGGTTGAGTGTGCTGGCTGCTCTTCCAGAGGACTCAGGTTTGATTCCCAGCACTCACAACCTTCTATAACTCCAGGTCTAGGGACATCACCTTCTGGCCTCCATAGTAGTACTAGGCACATGTGGTATATCAACATACATGTAGACAAAACATCCATACACATGAACTAAAACAAAATAAAATAGTTGCCCATATGAGTAACTTTCCACCCACTGGCAAAGCAGTCCTTCTAGCTCCTAAAAATGGCTGGAAGGTATCATTTGCCAGCATCAGTTTCATACCAGCCTAGGCTGCTTTGCTGTTCCTCCAGGATTAAGCAGATGGGGCTTTGTGATGTGACCATAGAACACATTTTGTTTGGATGGCCAAAGTGTGGTTTGCTTTCTAGAGGTGATCCTTCTGGGTTTTGGTGAGCTAGCATTTTATTGGCTGTATTTTGGTGAGGCAGGATGCCTCTCTGATACTTGATCCATTTTCTGAGTAGATTAACATTTCTCTTTTTAATTCTCTCAAAGTTATATTTGTATTGTCAGTTTATTTGAATATTTCAAAGATCATTTTATCGAGGAAATTTTCATTGTAGTTTCTCAAAGTCCTGTGAGGAAGGTGAGTAGAATTTTGTGTGTATTTCTTCTTACAGAAATCATAAACCTTTTAAAACATTTTGACCAAAAAAAAAACGGGCTCTGATTTATTGGTTTTTCTTCCACAGAAGCCTTCATCCTTGCCCCTAAATCAGAAGTTAGTCAGAGGAGGCAAGCATGGCAATGACATAAAGGACTGAATGGGATTATTGCCTGTAGAGCATCTAATGTAGTTTTGCAGCTCTGTAAAGGGTGGACAGTAAGGGTCTTGAGAACCATGATGCTTTAGGCTTCATCCTGACACTGGTGTGGTCTCAGAAATGAACCACCAGTTAGTACTGCATCTTTACTGCCTTTACCTCTGTCTTTAGAATTCTGTAAATACAGTGAGAAGTAGGGATTGGGGTCTCTAGAGACATATTGGCCAGCATTAATGGATCAATACTTTAGTTCATGTTTCTTCCTTGTGGATTGGATTCATGGCTCTCTTGTCAGATTGCAAACTATAACTGAGCTGGCCACTGGAAAACATCTCACTCCACTGCTGTGGTTGAGCCTGTGTGTCAGAGGCCAATGCCTATCTCTGTGTGTTCTTTGCCTTAGTCATAGATAACCATGCCTGCCTTAGTGTGCTGTCTCAAATTTGTGGGCTAAGGTCTCAGGGCTACCATATTTGTTCTTGACTCACCCTCAAAACTGCTTGTACAACACTCAGAGTGCAGAAAGATGGAGGTGGATAAAAAAAAAACACTTTGGCCATTATGCATGAATATTCTCTGGCTCTTTTTAAGGAAAGAAACTTCACCTATTGATGTGATCCAGTTTCTATATCCTTAGCCTGGCCCACTTTTTCTGAAGGATATGCTGTGAGATCCTATGAGTATTACAGAGGAAAACATGTAAATTGTCCTGTACCTTTTCAGGTACAACTAATACATGTAATGTGTTCTCATTTGCGCTTCAAATCTGGAGGATCATAAGCCACAGAAAGTCTACTTCAGGAGACTTGCTCAGGGTTCTGTGACAGACCAGATACCTCAGAAGTACAGCTGACTGCTTTTTTTTTTTTTTTTTTTTTTTTTAATACTTTAATGTGCTACATTAACAATTAAAGGAGTTCATTTTGCATTTCAAGAAAAATGCCATTTAAAGCCTCCATTTATGACTGCTGCCCTCATCCTGAACCATATGTATGTATAGGTTAGTAGCCATGGATACCATCATTTAAGAACAAGTGTAGGCTCAATTGCTGCAAATATCTAAAAAACAGCTAACTCGTTGCATTTGGGTAGAGTTCTCAGTTGATAGCTAGTAGTTCAATCCTCAGCACTACCTTTAATCCCAGCATTTGGGAGGTGGAAGCAAAAGAATCAGGAGTTCATGAGTCCTTGTCTTTTATTATTATTATTATTATTATTATTATTATTATTATTATTTGTTATTGTAATGTGGGTGGATGTTTTGCCTGCAAGTATGTCTGTGCAGTATGTATGTGCAGTCCAGATCCCCTGGGTGCTGGGAATTGAACAAGGGTATTCTGGAAGAGAATCCAGTGATCTTAACCACTGAGCCACCTCTCCAACCTGAGTCTTTGTCTTTTTAAAAAAAAAAAAAAAAGTGTTTCATTAGTCTGATTACATTCCTAACTATAGATAGGTTCTAGGTTGTTGAACAAATTTTGTATATCTGATTCAAATAGCTGACTAAGCCACTTATACCAGTAATTTCAGTATTCAAGAGGTAAAGATAGAGGAGTGCCTGGTCTACATGTGAATTCCAGGACATAGAGAGCTATGTATTGAGAGCCTGTCTCAAAAAAAGAACAAATAAATAATAGTTAAGCAGCAACAGTTGTTTCCTTTTGTGGAAGTGATCTCATGTTTTATAATGTTTGCAGGTATCCTTGGCTTTCATGCTGCACACTGAAGACAGCAGACTGTCTACAGACTTCTCCTGCAGTGTGTGGTTGGGTGCGGAAAGCCATCAAATGAGAGTGAAAATAAAGTATATGACCATGATTCCACTTAAGGAAAATTCTGTTTGTTTCAAGAAAATATACTTTGGGCTTAAGAGTTTGAGACAAATGGTTGGTGAGGTTTATACCTCTTTCAGTTTCTAACTAAAGCAAATGGGTGTTCAAATCCTACTCTGGTGAGATCACAGGAATGTGTTGACAAATGCAGTATGAATAAAATTCTTTCTGTGTTTGTTCTCTACTAGCGCTTGGATCAAAGTGGAACAGCTAAAGCCTTATCATGCTCACAAAGAGGAAATGATAAAGATCAACAAGGGCAAACGGTTCCAGCAAGCTGTGGATGCTGTTGAAGAGTTCCTCAGGAGAGCCAAAGGGAAAGACCAGGTGAGAGAGACTTCAGCAGTTCCCCTCCAACATCAGGCCGGTGGTTTTGCATGGTTACTAGCAGATGAACTGTGTCATAGACTCACTCCATTACCACGAGATGCCTAGTAAGAGAACAACTGTGGTCCCAGATCTTATGCCTGTGGCTCACCTTTCTGAAGCCACTTTTTTCTGAGGCATGTTGCTTTTAGAAGTAGCTCAGCTTTGGAGTGCAACTAAGAGCTTAGGAGCACAGCCACATCCTAGCTTTGGGGCTGTAGACAAGTGACTTGATTTTCTTTTTAAAAGCTGTTTTTCCAGTGCAAATGGGTGAGCAGGGATCCTGTTTCTCAGGGTGACTATGAAGACAGTTCACAGAAGTGCCAAGAGTACTACATGGCCAATGTTGGTAGTGGCTGTTTAGTGGTCATCATTATTATTGTTGAACTTTCAGACATCATCCCACACTTCTGCTGATGATAAGAACCGGCGTAATTCCAGTGAGGAGAGAAGTAGGCCAAACTCAGGCGATGAGAAACGCAAGCTTAGCCTGTCTGAAGGGAAGGTGAAGAAGAACATGGGAGAAGGAAAGAAGAGGGTGACTTCGGGCTCTGCAGAGAGAGGCTCCAAATGCCTCAAAAGAGCCCAAGAGCAAAGTCCCCGGAAGCGGGGTCGGCCCCCAAAGGACGAGAAGGTTTGTCTTACCACTATAGCTTCCCCGACTAGTCCCTTTTTAAAGTAGAGCCATGCTCTGAAGTATCATGTTACTCATCTAGTAGGTTTGGCATCTATAAATAAAGTGAAAGCAAAATACACAGACATAGTAGGGGCAGGAGGTGGTGACAGAATAGCAGTCTGAGTTGCTTAGGTACCCAGACCTGGGCAGGAGGAAGGGAGGGAAAGCACTGTAGAGGTGAGCATGCAGATCATGTGAGGCATGATTCTTGCATGAGTATCCTAGTAGGTAGAGGAAAGGGGCAAACAGGTACAGGTAGGTTAACCCAGGGTCGCGGAGGACTATGAAGTAAATTCAAGATAGTGGAAGCACCTAAGAAGCTATTTGAGCTGGTTGTTGAGATGGCATTGTATGCTAGGCTGGGCCTTTGTGATTGTGAGGACAGAAAAGGGGGCTTGAAGCCAAATAGAAAGCCAGAGTCACTGATAAATCCATAAGAGATGGTAGCATTTCCTGGAAGGAATAGGGAGAGATGTGTCAGAGGAAGCCCTTCTATGATTTGGCAGTTGGTTATATGGAGGGGTGTAGATGAAAAGGAAAGAGAAAGTGGAGTCAAGCTTCACTCCTAGAAGATAGTGCTCTTGCTTTCTTACATGATCAGGAGTCAGGAAATGGAGCTGTCTCACAGAAGAGTGAGCTGGCTTTTGGGGAGATTTGGGGTTTGCTGTTGTCATTGTTTATGGAACTAAGGGTAGAGCCTGGACCTTCACACATGGTAAGCAAACACTCTACCCTAAGCTACATTCTTCATTTTTTGAGTGTAATGCATTTGAAGCATGGCCCAAACCGTAGTAGAGCTGTAGACTTTGGAAGCCATCTTGGATGAACAACAGCCTTGGAATTTGAGAAGGGGTGCTCAAAAGAAAGGCTAAACTGTAAAGAGAATATTTGTTTAGGGCTAGTAAAGTTGGAAGTGTGGCCAGATGAATCCAGGAAGAAATGACACATCTCTCACCTGTGTCTAACAAGTCTTGAATTTCAGGAAGTAGAAGTAGGTGGCCTTTGAGTTGTGAGGAACACATTAGGAAACGTGCAACTAGAATAAAAGAAGCAGAAGCCAGATGGCTGATGAACAGTGGGAGATAAAACCTTGATGAAACACTAGATGCCAGAGCAAGACTGGCAGGTTCAATCAAACACCAGTGAACATAGAGCAAATGAAGCTGCCTTGAGTTTGCAAAAGAGCAGGAGAGCTTACTGCGTCTTGGGGCTGGCCCAGTTACACTCCATCCAACTGCTGCCAGATTGTCTGCTTTCCATGAGAGGAAGGAGCTGGAAATACAGAATTATATGCGAAACACCCTAAGTTTAAATATTTAAATCTGATTCACATTTTTAAAACATTTCAGGGTTCCAAAAAAATATTTTTGGCTAAGTTCAGCCTGGCCTGCCTCTGTGGGGGGTAGGGGGGATTCTCTGATTAGAGTAGGCCCATCATACTACCCTAAGGCTAAGAGAAAAGAAGGAAGAGAGCAAGAGTCTCCCTGTGAGCATGCTCAGGAGGTAGGGAGCTTCAGAGAACTGCAAACCCCCAGTGAATAGGGGTCTTTGCAAGGAGTGTGGCCTGAAAGAAGCCCCCAAAAGATGTAATGTAATTTTCAATCAAAAAGGAATTGGAGCTGTCATGTTTTATACTGTCTTCCATATTAATACCATCTTCAGGCAAGCTGCTCATAGATTCCTGAATCATCCTGGACAGAAACAGTTTCCTATTATATAAAGCAGAATACAGTGGCCAGGTTAGGACAAAGGACCTATGTTTGGATTATAACCTATGGTTTGTTGCAACTGATTGACTATGGCCAAGTTCCTTTCCTTCAGTTTCCTAGTGTGATCCTGGTATCTCATAGGTTTACTGTGAGAATTGAGTGGGTCCACAGGTAGTGTTGAGAACCATACCTGGAGAGCAGTGGGTTTCCAGGATAGGAGCCAGGTATATAGTGAGAACTGAGGTGGAAAGTCACTTAAGTCTAGCCTTCTCAAGCTTGCTTCTCCTATCTCAAGAGTTCCCTCAAGCTGATAATGAAAAGTAGTCCACCCCTACAACAGGGTAACTCATTGGGTGATAGTAACTTTTAACCAGGTTTCAGTCTAGGGAAAACCTGCTCTTAACCCCTAGCTGGGTCCTTTCTGGGTGGTTTTAGGCTGGGCTTGTGCTCAGTATGAAGTGCTGGGAGTGTGCCCTGGTAATAGAGTGACAGTGCATCTGACCTCATCTGTCCTGTAGCTCAGAGTGCGGGTGTGTTGCCATAGCAATTGTCATTTGGCTGGCAGTAAGCAGCACAGGCTCCTAGCTGTAGAGTCCCAGATGAGTGCCATTCTGTTGTGGTGTAATCTTCTGCCTGCTATAGATAACTGAAAAAAGCCAACCTTGATCTCAGAGGTGGCAAACGCTTGTCTAGACTGCTATTTCAGATCTTGCTTTGATCCCATGTCTTTGCTGGGCTCTGTTGCTCTGACCATGCCCACTTGGGTATGGTCACATATGAGGACATGCTGAGTAGGCTGGTCTGGGGTCCTGAACCCCCAACTCGCTCTCTTGGTTCCAGTGGGGTCACAGAGAGCAGCCTGGGTGTGGATCCTTGGAGGGAGAACTTGTGGGTCATTGGTTTCTTATGTAAGTGACTTCTCCCAGAATAAAATATTATATAAACCATATTTTATCCTCATCCTGTGTATCTTAATCTATGCAGCATTAGGGCTTTCCTTTCCTACTTCTAACCTAAGAACTACAGCTTCAGCCTCAAATGAATACAATCCCAGAAAAAGTACAGTTAGGCCTGTGGTACTCCTAAAATTTCACATTCACACCAAGAAGAGTGAATTAGGGATAGAGGTCTTTCTTTCATGTTTGGATCAAAAGCTACAAACTCCTTGCTCCCATTCTCTCATCTGTGGAACTCTACTGTCCCATCTTCTTTGAATACAAATTAAAATTCACCAGCCTTTTGTCAGATGCTGTGTAGTAATGCTATTGGAGGCTTCTGTGTTAGTTCAAATAGAGATTGTATCTGCCACTGCAGAGTGGTCTTTGGAGCAGCACTACACTAGCTTCTATACTACACAGATGCTTGTTTGGCAGCTTCACCACAGACCAAATGTCTAGACAGGAAGCCTAAGAGCTGTACAGACATGGCCCCTCAGGAAGAGAGATACCCAATTCTCTAATACATGTTCAGCTTCATCTACATGCCAGCAGGATTCTCAGTGTGCAGTAGAGTGGAAGGAAAACACACTTATAATAGCACCAACCCTGGGTCCAAATTGCTGGAATTTGAATTGTTCTGTTTATTTTGGGGGGTTGGTTGGTTGGGTTTGTTTGTTTGTTTGTTTGTTTTTGGTGGATGTGTATATTTTGAGGCCTTGAACTGTGCAGCCTGGTCTCAGGCTGGCCTCAAACTCAGAGATATACCAGTGTTTTCTTCTTGGGGGGCTGGGATGAAAAGGTATGTGCCACTATTCCCTAGAGTTTGAATTTTTAATCTAACTCACAATTGATAAATACTACTTGATCTTTTTGCACCTCAGTTTTCTGTAAAAGGAAGACAGTATTAGTTCTCCATTGTGAGTAATGGAAACTACACAAGACCATATATGTAAATTAAGACTAAGATGACTTTTAAAACCTTTGCTGTCATTATAATCAACATCTCCTTCAAATGGGAGAAGGTATAGAGAGGTCAGCTAAAGCTACTTTGATGAGGGGACTTTTCCATGGTGCCTTAAAGTAAGCCTGTGAGTCACGTAGACATGATGGAAGACCATCATCAATAATACAGAAGTTCTGAGGCCAGTTCATGTTTGCGGTCTTTGGGATGGAGGAATGGAGTGCTGGTAAATTAGAGAATGGCAAGGGAAGAGAAGGAATTAGGATTCAGACCAGGCAGTGGTGGTGCACACCTTTAATCCCAGTGCTTGGAAGGCAGAGGTAGGTAGATCTCTGTGAGTTTGAAGCCAGCCTGGTCTACAAAGTGAGTTCCAGGGCAGCCAGGACTATTAACAGAGAGACCCTGACTCGAAGAAAAAAAAAAAAAAAACACCACCCCAGAAAAAAATAAATAAATAAGGAAAAAATAAATAAATAAGGAAAAGAATTAGGACTTGGGTCAGATATGAGAGTAGACTAAGGCGACTGACTGACTTAGAGCCTTCCCTGAAGGCTGCCATAGCAAACTTTAGCTTCATGGTGAGAAGTGGGGATCTGGCTTTGGGCAGATACAATAAGCTCTGACTTGGGCTGGGGTGCAGAGACTAAGTTGCATGGGACCAGAATGAAGCAGGAGATTAATTTTTCAGCTGCTTGCTGACAATGATGTTGGTATGACAGCCAGTGTAGTATGAGTGACAAGGGAGAAGGGTGGCTTTATAGTGGTAAAGCAGTGACCACCGTTCTTTGAGTCAGAGGGTAATCAAAGTAGTAGAGGAAGAGGCCTGGCTCCAGGAAAGTGAAATTGGAGCTAAGCGGCTGTGGGACCAGGCAAGAAAGAAACTCAGTCAACAGTGGAATATTTGTGGGTACATGGGCATTCACCCTGATACCCCACCAAGGTGGGTGAGGTATAAGGTATTATCACAGTGGTTATGGTAGAGGCCAGACCAGCTTTGTTCAAGGGAATGAGACACAGGCCATATATATAAATAGCTGCTCATTTGAGACCACCCCAAATATATTCTGGCATTCATCATCACTTTCAAATCTGGGCAGGTCCTCAGCAGTACCAGGCAGTTTTTGTTTTCTTAAGACAAGATAAATTTGCTCTGAAGCCACTATTTTCTTAGTGATTTTACTTGTCATAAAGAATTCCCTTGTAACTTGCTGGCAGCTTCCTAATTGACCTGCATTCATGTGACATAAATGTATGAGTGGGTTTTGTGATTATAGGACTAGAGAAGGCTCACTTTGTGTGGACAGGAAGCAGTTGCCTTTCTTCTCCCACTTAGAGCTTTGCCCAGGAGTTTCCACTTGAACTTACACTTAAACTGTGGAGCTTGTCAGGAGCTTAGTTTGGGGTTGAGTGGCCAAAAGGGAAACCAAGTATCCTGATGCTCTCTCTGGTTTTCTCCTGTAGGACCTCACCATCCCAGAATCTAGCACTGTAAAGGGGATGATGGCTGGACCAATGGCTGCATTTAAATGGCAGCCAACTGCAAGCGAGGTAAAGAACTTTGCCTGCTGGTAGGACTGGCCACAATGTCAGAACAAGCACACAGCAGATTTTTTTGACTTCTATGTGACCCTCTCTCCCTTCCCCCCCCCCCCCTTTTTCTGGTTGTTTGGTTTTATTTTATTGGAAAGCAGTACAGAAGTCTAGGAGGTAAATACTGAAATCTTCTATCCTCAGTATACTCAAAAAGTGTTTTAGGTTTGAGGTTCTAGGAAGTTTGCCTGCTTAGCATCATATATGGGATTATAGACCCACTATCATTCTTATTGTTTGGGGTAGGATTGCTCTTATATTTATTGTAAATACCATCTCTTCCATAAATACTCTTTTTTTGTCCTCTGTTGCCCCCAACCACCACCTTTGAGAAAGTAGTTTTTTCTGGGGATGGTTGAGATAGAGGTTATTCTGTGACAGAGTCTTCCTAGGTAATCCATGCCAGCCTCAAAGTAGAGAGCCTTCTGCCTCAGATACCGAGGTAAGGTACTATGATTATAGAAATGTAGCCACCAAGACCAGCTAATGTTGATGTTTTGTAGCCTGGGGTCACACTGTGCCTCCACCTGATACTAGGTGTAGTTTTCAACAGTTGTGGAAATCTATGGTCGTGACCACTATAATTAGAATTGATCCCAGAAAGCTGAGCCCTACAAGAATCTGGCCTGAGACCCAAGGAGACCAGAGCTCTGAAACCAGAACTGGAATTGCTGTGGCTTATATAGCCAGGCCAATTCATGCCTCGTGAATGCTTAGTACTAAAATGAAGAAGAGCTTTGTAATATTTCTCCACAGAGTTACTAGAGTAATTGATCTTAACCTGCAGAAACATCTGTCTTTTTTGTACTTGAGCCAATTTTCCCTTAACTAGAATGGCAGTTTATGAAAGGCAAATCTAGTAGAGGCTGAAGCGAGATGATCATAGGTTCATAGCCTGCCTGAGTAACCAAGTGAGTTGAAGGGCCAGCCTGAATAACTTAGATACTATCTCAAAACAAAAAGCAAAGAGACAGCATTCTGGAAGCATGGGTGGATCTAAGTGAGAGTGTTTCCAAAACACTGCCTTAGAAGTAGAACTCAGTGGTAGAACACTTGCCAGGTATGGACAAGGCCCCTAGATTCAATCATTAGTATGGGAAATAAAAAGAGATAACTGGGGTCAGGGGATGGCTCACGCTTTTAATACCAATAAAGAGTCAGAGGCAGGTGGATCTCTGTGACTTTGAGGCCAGCCTGGTCTACATAGCAAGTCCCAAGAAAGCCAGGAGTACACAGAAAAACTCTGACCCAAAAAAATAGAAGTTTCAATTAACTGAAAGTTCGGTCTACAACTTTAATCCCAGAACTCGGGAGGCAGAGGCAGGCAGATCTCTGTGAGTTCGAGGTCAGTCTGGTCTACAAACCATACCCTGGAGAAAAAAAAAAAATAGAAGTTACCCAAAATCTTTGAAGGAGACTTGGTTGGAGAAACCATGCAGCAAGGAGGGTGTCCCTCTTCTAGACAAGAGGAAGTGACTTTCATAGAGGGCAGCTCATTTGATTTCCTTGTCTTCTGATTTCAGCCAGTCAAAGATGCAGATCCTCATTTCCATCATTTTCTGCTGAGTCAAACAGAGAAGGTAAGTCTTCACTTGGGGCAGACCTGTTTATGAATGCCATATCAACAAGCTAAGTAACAGTGTAGGCCCATGAGAAAATCAAGTGCCAATGAAATTAAAAATCAAAGCTTTTTAAACTCATGCACTTACATTGCCGAGATATCAGCAGTTGCCTTCACAGCCTAAGGCAGGAGGAGCTAGACATGGAGGCTGTCTCCATGAGGTTGCCCATGCTGCCTGCTGGCACACCCTTTGACTCTGTGGTCAGGATAGCTTCCCAGCCCTGTGGCTATGGCAGGGAACTTTACTAAAGTTTGTGATGCAAAGATCCTGTAGCAATGAATGGCTTTAGGAGTTAGGCAGATTTGATTTCCAGCTCAGCTTTTACTGACCAGCTCCATGGTGATGCATATAAGTTGGCACCTCTGATGCTTAGAGTCAGACAGAGACCTTCAAAGAGCTATGTGGAGTATTGAGATATTGAGTGTTTTTTTCTGAATTTGTTAAAATTATGCAACAAAGAAATACCCTGTGTTATTGCCTCTCTTTAGGCCTAACCATTTAGAGAAATTACCATGTAGAATTATTACACTTAAGAAGTTGTCTGTTTTCTCCCTCTTTATTAGCCAGCTGTTTGTTACCAGGCGATCACAAAGAAGTTGAAAGTATGTGAAGAGGTATGTAGGCTCCCTGCCTTCGAATTTTCATTTCACCTGTGGCCTCACTGTGTGTCAAACTGCTAGATGATTATCTGTGCTTCCTGTCCCTAGGAAACTGGCTCCACCTCCATCCAGGCCGCAGACAGCACAGCCGTGAATGGCAGCATCACACCCACAGACAAAAAGTAAGACCTTGGATGATGAGGCCTCTGGATTCTGTTAGAGCTGAGGAAGTGGCACCAAGGGAACCCTGAAGGGCTATGTATAAACCTGATAATAATTTGGCAACAGTTTCACTTATCAGAGGAAGTTGTCATTCCCAACCCACTTCCCATGGGGTCTTCCCTTGGGAATAAGCTTAGGTCTTGAGTCCCTAATAATCAGTGAGTCTGAGCTACTTCAGAAGTTCTCATAGCCTCCTAAAAGATGGCTTGCAAAGCCCATCCTGGATAGGGCTTCTCAATTGATAAGTGTGTCTAGGGTGCAGCCCAAGAATTCATTTCCAGCTGGGTGATGGTGGCACACACCTTTAATCCCAGTATGTAGAAGGCATAGGCAGGCAGATCTCTATGAGTTAGTTCAAAGTTAGCCTGGTCTACAGAGCGAGTTCGAGGACAGCTAAGATACACAGAGAAACCCTGTCTCAAAAAAAAAAAAAAGAATTCATTTCCTTACAAGTAGCAAAACTGCCTTTACAGCCACTGCTAGTCTGGAGCCACTCTTGGAAATTTGGCTCAGTATATAAATTTTCCTTGCGTGATAGGAACTCCAAGATTAGCCATGGGGAGATGGGGAGAGACATGCAGGTTTTTGGAATAAGGCCTTTGTCTTGACTTACTCATTTCTCCCTGTGTTACCTCCCTGCCCTTTCTATGCACCTGTCAGCTGCTCTCCACCTTGCCTACACAATGGGCCCCAAGCCTTCCAGAGACTTGTCTTTACGGCCTCATTGTTGCTTCAGCTGAGCCTACAGTTATTTGGTAAAAAGGGTTTCATTACTAAAGAAGTGTGTTGTGAGTGATATAACAGTATGAATTTGTATCTTCCACATAGTTCTCTCACAAACTAAATTCAATATATCTTTTGACATTCAAACTGTTGAAATCCTAATTATACAAGTTCTTCTTGAACTCCCCTCCGCAGAAGAGACAAGCTTTTAGAAACTGATCAAAGGTTTTGGGGTGGGAGGCTAGGGCACAGAAGGATCGGGAGTTCTAGGCCAACATGGACTGTTTAGCACAACCATATCTCAAAATGGTGAGGGCCAGGCATAGAAGGTATGTATTCTTTAGTAAGGATTGTATTCATTTTAAAAACAAGACCAGCACAGGGCTAATGCTTAAGTCCTCATATTCTCACCCAAGACCTTGACTGCCTCTGAAGGCAACTCTTTTTTTTTCTTGTCGTTTTGTTTTGTTTTTCTGGATAGGCTTCTCTGTGTAGCCCTGGCTGTCCTGGAACTCACTCTGTAGACCAGACTAGCCTCACTCATAGCTGCCTGCCTGCCTCCCAAGTGCTAGAACTAAAGGCCAGGAGGTGCCACCACCTCCTGTCAAGACATGTCTTCCTTAATATGAGTTTGGAGTCAGTCACTTGAAGCAACTAGTCCACATTAATCCACACTGACATAGAGACTGTTGGACTGTTACTTGTCGTGTTGGAAATAGTTTGTTCATAGATTCTTTTTCCTGTCTTGATAGGCTTTATGGGGGAAATTGTACTACAAAAGAGAGCTGTGAATGGCAAAAACGTCTTAGCATAAAACCTAGTGGTCAGAGAACCCTGTTTTGTTGAGAAAGGTGGTAGCTTTGATTCACATAATGTGTGTGTTGGGACAGAGTGGTGAATACTGGGTATTCTTGCTAGGGTAAGGGAAACCTCCAAGTAGTCATTTTCCAATTGTGCCTGCCAGTGAGATTCCAGAAAAAACAAAAGTATGGAGAGGATTCAGAGAGCCTTTCTAGGGGAGAATGTTGAGAGCTGAGAAAAAAATAAAAATAAAAAACAAGAAGATAGTGAAATTTCTGAAAAAAGGAAAGCATTTAACTATAGTACCATGCAAGAAGAAATAAAGGTATATAAAAAACAGTTGGGTATAGTGGTTCACCCTGGATTCTAGCACTCAGGAAGCTGACTCAGAAATATTGCTCTAAATTGAGGTTACTGAGCAACCTATCTGGCCAGACTGGGCTACAAAGTAAGATCCTGTCTCAATTAAAAATAAAAAGTCTGGAGAGATGGCTCAGTTGGTAAAGCTTCTTCCACATAATCCAGTACCTAAATTCTGTTCCCAGTACCACATGAAAAAGCCAGGCATGGTGGTACATACCTACAATCTCAGTGCTAAGGAGACAAATAGATCACCAGGGCTCACTGGCCAGCCAGCTTTGCCTGCTTAGCAAGTTTCAGACCAGCGAGAACCCTTGTCTCCCAAAAAAGTTATTTGTGTCTGAGGAATGACACTTAAGGTTATCTTCTGACTTAAACATACTCATAAAGTACAAGAACCGAAAAAGACATTTAGAGCTAGGTGTTGGCGCACTCCTTTAGTCCCAGCACTCGGGAGGCAGAGGCAGGCAGATCTCTGTGAATTGGAGGCCAGCCTGGTCTACAGAGCTAGTTTCAGGATAGACTTCAAAGTAATAGAGAGAAATCCTGTCTCGAAAAAAAGAAAAGACATTTAAAAGCAAGATGAAGATCTCTATACACGTACATAAAGATAGTAGTAGTAGTAGTAGCAAGCAGTTCCACTGAGTTCTCCAGTAGCAGAAAGGAATAAGGAAGTCAAAGGTAGGCAAAATTTGCCATATGCACTTTAGTCACAGAGAGTTGTGATGGGTTGAGAAGGAGCAGTGCTTTGGAGGACATGTAGGTGAGGAAGTCAAAGATGAGTGCCTGGGAGAACACATATTAGTGCCTCCTGCGTTTTGGAGGTTGCCTGGCTATCAACACTGTCTTCAGTGGTTTGTGGATTTGGGGCACACTATGTGTGGATTTGGGCCTAGTGCAAGGGATTGCTGAACAGGAAGCCATACAGGAACTGATGACAGTTCTGTTTGTTACTGGAGTAGAATTAAAAGCTCCAATACTCTGTCAGAAGCAAGGGAACCCACAATTGTAATACTTGCCATGAGCCATGGAAGTCATGATGGTCAAAGATTTAGACATGGCCATATATATTTAGGGACCCTTATTGACCATCCAGAAGAAGAAGAAAGAAGTACAGTGCTGGACCAAGGCTGTAAAGCATTTCTTAACATGAAACTGCCCTGAGTTTGATGCCCAGTGTCATAAAAGAAAAATACATTGTTAACATTGTTAATTGTGCTGCAGGCTGGACATGCCTTTCTCTGGACCAATCAGTCTTTGTCTCTTTCAGGATAGGATTTTTGGGCCTTGGCTTAATGGGAAGTGGCATCGTCTCCAACTTGCTAAAAATGGGTCACACAGTGACTGTTTGGAACCGGACTGCAGAGAAAGTAAGTATTAAGGGTGAGGTTTGTCACTTAAGGTGGAGTAACTAAGGGTAACTTAGTTTCTACTCAGTGTTCTGCACCTAGGAAAAACAACCTAAGCTTAGAACAGGCAGAAGGATATATAAGATGTTGTTATGAAAATTTAAGTATTTAAAACTACTCAAGGTATACCACACATGATAGATAGCACATGTCGTAATTCCAGCACTTAGGCAATTGAGGCTTGAGGGCTGCCTTTCATTCTAGGCCTGCATAGGTTATGTAGGAAGTCCCAGACACAGTGAGACCTTTTCTCAAAAATAAAAAGAAGAAGCCTGACATGGTAATGCATGCCTTTAATCCCAGCACTCAGAAGGCAGAGGCAGGTGGATCTCTGTGAGTTCAAAGCTAGCTTGGTCTATAGGGGACGTTATAAGAAACCATGTTTCAAAAAAAAAAAAAAAGAAATGAAAAAAACCTAGCTGCAAAGGTGGCTCAACAATTAAAAGAGTGTTTATTGTGTACTACTCCTCCAGAGGTCTAGAGTTCAGTTCCTAGCATATACATTAGGTGGCTTACAACCACTTGTAATTCCAGGTCTTGTAGCTCCAATGTCCTCTTCTGGCTTCTGGACACCTGTGTTCATGTGTCTATACATACATACACATATATAAAAAAAAAAAATCTTTTTTAAAAAAAGTACAGATAACAATAGCAACAGAAATACCCATTGCTATAAAATGAAGGGTTCCCTATCACATGGACCATGTAGGCAGACCAGCTTCATTCTTTGTAACCACCACACCATACCTGGGATGTGGTCCATTCTGAGCAGGGTGAGCAGCACGGAATTATGCAGTAATGAACTGCAGCAGGAAATGAGAGAGCATTGTTCTTTCATGGAATAAAGAACCAGAGATTAGAAAGGTGTGTTCCCTTTTGAGACATGTGGTATGCTTTACCCCTGTGAATGATTAATAACTACAGGAGAGCTGATCACTAAAGGAGGCATTGGCACTAAATGGTGACAAAATATTAACAAAAATATCTTAGGGACTGGGTGTGGTGGTATATGCCTTTAATCCCAGCAGAGGCAAAAAGATCTGGGTTCAAGGCCAGTCTGGCCTACAATATAAGTTCCAGTCCAGCCAGGGCTACACAGTGAGACCTTGTCTCAAAAAAGAATATTTTAGGGTCTGGAGTATAGGTCAGTGCTAGAGCGAAGCCCTGGTTCTTTTCCCCAGTACCTCCACTCCCATTTTTTTTTTTTTTTTTTACTGAATTGGGTGCCTTTCAATAACAGAAAAATGATTGGGTTTTGTGGGGAACCTGGAATCATGTGTTGAGCATTGAGTAGATGCTATGGGGAACTAACCCAGGTAAGACCCTAAAGCTCCACTGTAGTCTTTGTGACTCCTGCTTTCTTCTCAAGACTGAAAATGCTGCAAGTAAGGGAAAACAGGGTGTCTAGGCATGTGTGGTAACTGGGATGTTTCCCTTTGAGAGAAGTGCCTCTGGCTGCCCTTTTTCTTCATTAGGAAACATGGACAAGAAAGTGAAGCATCTAAGAATCAAGTCAGACAGGCCCAAATTCAAATCACAGATGTGCTGTTTACCTTATGTGGCAATACACTCTGCTTGTCTCCACCTGTGTGAGTAGCAGAGTGAGAGCACCTATTTTATAGAGGGAAGAAAGTACTCAATACAGGGCCTGGCAAGAGACTGCTGTAAAAAGCCGTTTAGTCCTGTAATAATTAATCCCCTTGGAATTTCTTTTAAGACTGTTGACAAGAAATGGTCTTTTTGGCTGGGCATGATGGTTCTTGCTTTCAAACCCAGCACTTGGAAGGCAGAGGCATTGAGTTCTCTATGAGGCCAGCCTGGTCTACATATACATAGCAAGTTACAGGCCAACCAGGGGTACATAGTGAGATGCTGACATACACACACTCACTCATAAAAGAAAAGGTTGTTGGGCAGTGGTAGGGCACACCTTTAATCCCAGTGCTTGGGAGGCAGAGGCAGGCAGATCTCTATGAGTTCAAGGCCAGCCTGGCCTACACAGCAAGTTCCAGGACAGGCTCCAAAGCAATACAGAGAACCTGTCTCAAAAAAATAAAAGTTCTGGGACTGGGGAGATGGCTTAGTAGGTAAAGGTGCTTGCCACCAGTTCTACCCACCTGAGTCCTGAAATTGATCACTAGGACTCATATTCTAAAAGGAAGGACTCCTGACCTCTGACCTGTAACAAGAAAAATAAATAAATAAATAAATGACCCAGAGACTGATATTGGGGTTCAAACTTCAAGCTGAATATCAGAAAAGCAAAGCACCTGGCCATTAGCTTCTTACCTCTACCTCAGGCTGAATGGACTGGTCCTGTCTCCATGATTTCTCACCAAGACTCAGACCGTAACCTCTCCCCAGCATGGCTGAAGAACGAATGCTACTATCTTCAGTGTGTCTGGAAAATGAATGCCTCTCTGAGACCTTGCTTCTGTCTTATACACTACCCTAAAGTTGGGATTAAAGGTGTGAGCTATAATTCTTTTTTGGACTGATTCATTCTTGTGTAGATCTGGGTGGCCTTGTACTCACAGAGATCCATCTATCTCTTAATCCTGAGTCCTAGTATTAAAAATGTATCACCACTGCCTGATCTCTATAGTTTGAATCTGACTTTGCTTTTCTGAATCCTCAGTCAAGCTTTAATAAATCATAAGTAATATTTCACTACACTGACCCACATGTTCACATATACATGTCATTAAGTAAATAAATATAAAAGCAAGAAAAAACTTTGAATGGTTCTTTGGCCAGGTATAGAGCCACAGCTGCTCAGGAGGCTGAGGCCAGATTTCCCAGGCCAGACTGGCTGCACAACACAGTGAGACTCCAATATCAAAATGACAGCAAAATAGAGTGATCTGCTTATGCTTCTGAAATAATAAATATGAAATATGGTTTTAATTTCCAGGGGGAAAAAAAGTAAATGGGGTAGTGATGGTGTATGCCTTTAATTTCAACACTTGGGAGGCAGAGACAGACAGATCTCTGTGGGTTTGAGGCCAGCCTGGTCTACATAGCTAGTTCCAGAACTACCAGAGCTGTTACACAGAGAAACCCTGTCTTGGGGGTGGGGGAGTAAAACTGAGTTATGATGGCTCATGCATAGGCAGAAGGATCATCATCAGTTCAAAGCCAGCCTGGGCTACCTAGCAAGTTGAAGACTAATGTGAGCTACAGAATTAAACACCGTCAAAATTTCTCTTTCCCTTCCCTCCTTTCATTCATTCATTTTTTGGAGGTGGGGGGGATGTCTATTTGAAACAGGGTTTTTCTGCATAGACCAGGCTGGCCTCAAATTTACAAAGAGCCACCTGCCTCCCTCTCTCTCTCTCTCTCTCTCTCTCTCTGTGTGTGTGTGTGTGTGTGTGTGTGTGTGTGTGTGTGTGTCTCCGTGGTCACACGCACTAACCCCACACACACACTGCTAGGATTAAAGGTTTGTGCCATCACCACTGCCTGAGGTAGGGGGGAAATAAGGATAAGTGGTGAGCTAAAGAAATGGCTCAACAGTTACTAATACTTGCAGAGAACCAAGATTCAGTTCTCACTGCTATTGTGGTAGCTCATAGCCAATTGTAATTCCAGTTTACACCTTCTTCTGACCTTTAAGGCCACCAGGTGCACATATGGCATATATACTTATATTCAGACAAACATTCATCTATTTAAAACATCTGTCTTTAAATAAAAGGAGAGGGAGCCAGTGGTTCTCCTGTTACTTCCATGCCCACCATTCTTTGCAGGAAATACATGTAGACCTGTTTTCTCTCTAAAATATAATTGAGTTGCTGTTCACTGAGGTCCCAAGTTCAAAGCCCTAATATCCATATAAAAGCTGAGCTTTTACAATTAAAGTTGAGGCCAATTTAGGAAGACATTGGATATTGATCTCTGGCCTCCAAATTTATGTGTACATGAGTCCACACATAGTACGCCTGTAAATGTAAACACATAAAATAACATTTAAAAATTCAAAAGATGGACACTCAGTGAGAACTCTTGCCTAGCATGGAAAGAAAACCTAAAGCCTCACTACCTGATGGTTACCATAGAACTCTAAGCCCCCAAATAGACTATACAGCACTTGCCTCCAACAAATGCTACTTCATTGCAAGGTAGGGAGGAGCAGCAAAGGCTGATCAGAGAACTGTCTTTAGGAAATCTGCAAAGACCATCTAAAAACAATCAAAATTCTCTAAAGAAAAAGATAAATAAGGGGACTAGAGAGATGGCTCCGTGGTTAAGAGCACCTGATTGTTCTTCCAGAGATCCTGAGTTCAATTCCCAGCAACCTCATGGTGGCTCACAACCATCTGTAATAGGATCAGATTCCCTTTTCTGATTTGCATGAGGACAGAGCACTTATACATAAAATACTTGAATAAATAAATATTTAAAAAAAAGATAAGTAGGGAGTTTTGTTGTCGTTATTTTAAACGTTTTTGAGACAGGGTCTTACTATATAGCTCTGGCTTTGCCTAGAACTCAGTATGTGAGTTAAAGACTGACCTTAAACTCCCAGAGATCCACCTTCTGCCTGCCGAGTGCAAGGATGAATGGTGTGCACCACTACATCTGGCCTTAAATGTACTTTATATTTTATGTATACAAAAGTTTTGCCTGTATATGTGTATAGATACTCCATGCATGCCTGATGCCCTTGGAAACAAGAAGAGGGTATTGGATCCTCTGGCTGGAGTTACAGAAGGTTGTGAGCTGCTCTGTGGGTGCTAGGAATAAAACCCAAGTCCTTTGGAAAATGAGCAAGTGCTTTTAACTGCTGAGACATCTCTACAGTTCTAGATCAATAGCTATTGGGTAATTTCCAAAACAGAAATTAGACAGTATTGAATGTCCACCAACTAAAAGTAGTTGTGGTAATATGATAAAAAAAAAAAAGACAAACATGGTTCAGTGGGTAAAGGTACTTGCTGCCAAGACTGACAACCAACATCAGTCCCCAGAATCCTTGTGGTGGAAGGAAAACTGACTCAAGCAAATTGTTCTGTGACTTTCACATGTGCACATACATGCACACAAATAAAATTAATGCAATTCAAAAAAAAAAAATTTAATGGTCTTGGAGGGATGGCTCAGCAGTTAAGAACACTGCTTAGTCTTTCAGAGGATATAGTTTCAGTTCCGGAACCCACAATGGTGGCTTTCAAACATCCATAACTCCAGATCCAGGGGATCCAGCACCTTCAGCTGAACATCAAGGGTACCAAGCAGACATGTGGTGCCTGTACATACATGCAAGCAAAACACTCGTACATAAAAATAAACCTTTTTTTTTAAGGTTTTTTTTTTTTTTTTAAGACAAAAACCTGCTTACAAAATTGTATACCCAAGTTATTCTGATTATATCTTTCAATACCTTTTTGGGGGGGTTTTGAGACTGTTTCTCTGCGTGGCCCTGGGTATCTTGGATAGATGAAGCTGGCCTCATACTCAAAGATTTGCCTGCCTCTGCCTCCTGAGTGCTGAGGTTAAAGGCAGGCACCACCTCTGCCTAGCTTTCTCTTTCAGTATATTTTATGGGGGGGAATGTACATTGAAATGCCTGTGTTCTAACTTAAAGGATATTCCGGATGATTTTAATTTAGACACAAAGATGGTAAGTCTTCAAGACCCTTTATAAGTCTTAACCCTGGCTAATGGACTTGGGACCAGCCCAAGAGGGAATGGTGGTCAGAAGAAAGGGACTGTACAGCCTAGGCCTGCTCCTCTGCATGTGCTAGTGGCTCAGGTCACCAGGCTGTTTTGTGACAGCTCTACCAGCACAGAGGAGCTGGCCATAGGCACTGTTCATATCCTGCTCTTCAAACTGGCGGCCTTCAACAGACATTGGCTTTGTGTTTGCGAAGCAGCATATTCTAGATACCATGTCTATCTACAAAAACAGGATAGTCTGTAAAGTCTCTGCCTTCTTATACTCAAGAAGTCAGGCCTCCAGCTCCAGTGTCCTGGGGCCTCAGCCTGGGAGACCAGCCAGGGGTCCACATAGGCCAGAGGGCCTGTCCAGCATGTTTGTTGTGCATTGCATGCACCTCACGTTAGGATCTGTGACTTTTGCAGTGTGATTTGTTCATCCAGGAGGGGGCCCGCCTAGGAAGAACCCCCGCTGAAGTTGTTTCAACTTGTGACATCACTTTCGCCTGTGTGTCGGATCCAAAGGCAGCCAAGGACGTAAGGATCCCCCTTCCCTCTACACCTCAGGTCGTAGCCAAGAGAGCTGCCTGGCCTTCTCCCCTTCTCCCCTGCACACTGAGTGAGTGTTTGCATGAGGGGGAATATCCCATCTGGGGGCCAACTCCTATTGGGAAAGTTGTTGTCAAGGTTAATGCAAAACTTCTAGAGTCCCTAAAGTCTACTGAAACATTTTTCTGAACTAGCTCTAGTATTCTATTGAACTAGACTGTTGGTAACTGAGTGTGCCTTCTTTTGGTCCAAGGGCCAACTCCTGTTTTAATTATTGCTGAATTTACATGTGTTACAAAGTCAAGTGCACTAGTGATCCTATTAAACTGAGTGATCTAGTCCATAGAAGCCCCCATAATAAGTAAACCATTGGAAGAGAACACAAAGGTAAAGGGGGACATTCTGGAGTGACTTTTTATTGTTATTGTTTTAAACAAAATGTCACTATGTAGCCCTCACTGGTCTGGAACTTACTATGTAGGAGATGAGACTGGCCTGGAACTCACAGAAATCCATCTGCCTGGAATTACTTTTCTGTTCCATACATTTTGATTTTTCGAGACAGGGTTTCTCTGTATTGCTTTGGAGCCTGTCCTAGAACTAGCTCTGTAGACCAGGCTGGCCTCAAACTCACAGAGATCTGCCTGTCTCTGCCTCCCAAGTGCTGGGACTAAAGGTGCGTGCACCACCAATGCCTGTCTTCTGTCCCATACATATTAAGTGACCCCTTCCTTTTCATTTTTAATAATTAACTTCTGATCAGGAAGTGAGCCCCCCAAAACCAACAAACTGTGTTCTGCAGGAACTTCTGAGCACTTAACTGCAAGCCTGGGCTATTGCTTCTCCATTGTGTCCCTACAGCTGGTGCTGGGCCCCAGCGGTGTGCTGCAAGGGATCCGCCCTGGGAAGTGCTATGTGGACATGTCAACGGTGGATGCAGATACAGTCACCGAGCTGGCCCAGGTAGCAGCCTTATCTAGGCTGGCTCTGGATCATCTTTTCAGTGGGAGCCCAAGACCCAGGCTGACCACACCCAAGTACGGGCAGTTTGGTTACACTAGAGCCAAAGCCAGAGCGGACGTCGGGAGCCTTGGGACTAGCCTTTTGACTGTCCCCCTTCAGAGCCTCAGCTGGTTGGAACTGCCATGGAAGGTCACTGCAGGCTAGTAGACAGGAGGCCCCATGCTGTCAGCCCTCCTGCAGTGAGAAGCCTCCAGACTGCCTATGTAGCCTTTTTGGCTTAAGCAACTATCTACAGTTGAGTCTAGCATAGTGTCCTCCTCCCAATCTTCTGGGCCCACTGTGTTCTGAGGGTGGCTGAGTTCAGTAATGGGCAGGGTCCAGTGGGCAGGAATTCAACCAAGGTTTCTATATGACTACGTTTGCCCCTTGGTCTCTGAGAACCAGAATGCTGGAAATCAAGATGCAGACTGTAGCTTCCTTCTTCCTTTCTGTGACTCACTTCTGTTTAGAGGATATGCCGTCTGACCCACTATAGTTGTGGTAGGCTTTAGAACCTTAGTGTAGATAATCACATGCTAACATAGCCTATGATGAGGCACCATGACCCCCATGTTCCTTCCTCCATATTTGGAGAAACAAGACCCATCTAAAGTTGTGGCTTTCCTTACAGGTGATTGTATCCAGAGGGGGCCGCTTTCTGGAAGCTCCAGTCTCAGGGAATCAGCAGCTGTCCAATGATGGGATGTTGGTAATTTTAGCAGCAGGAGACAGGGGCTTATATGAGGACTGCAGCAGCTGCTTCCAGGCAATGGGGAAGACTTCCTTCTTTTTAGGTAATATATCTGCCCACCTGTCTGGACATGTTGGGCCTGAAGACTTGGGGGCAGGGGGACACACTGGTGACAGTGTCTGTCCCACATAGCCTTCCCACCAGGCTCCCTAAAAGAAGGCTTCTTTTGCCAGGCACAATTAGTACCTGGATGTGGAAAGGAATCTGTTCTGTCCAGGACAAATGAAAGAGATTTTCAGGGTGGTGCGTGATGGCAGATAAGGATGACCTGCCTATAGGATTCTTGAAACATAGCCTTTGTCCTGCAGGTGAAGTTGGCAATGCAGCCAAGATGATGCTGATTGTGAACATGGTCCAAGGGAGCTTCATGGCTACCATCGCTGAGGGGCTGACACTGGCTCAGGTGACAGGCCAGTCACAGCAAACACTCTTGGACATCCTCAATCAGGGACAGTTGGCCAGTATCTTCCTGGACCAGAAGTGCCAAAGTAAGTCACCTTTGGCCTCTCTTGCATTTTTTTTTATTTCATTAGAACTGAGCAGCTGGACCAGTCCATTCAGGAGAGAGAGTCTTTTCATGGTTCATTATGTTTAAGTCAGTCCTTGACCCAGTCAGAGGAGTCCCAGAGACACAGTGAATGGTTTTTTAAGGCCCCAAGCTGGGGCTCCCAGTCTGTAGGAGATGGGGAAGGACAGGGCTATACCCTTGGAAAGGTTGGAGGTGAGCCTGATACTCCAAGGCAATTTTCATATAAGTCTTTAGACTTCTGATGAATGGCTTTCCCCCCTCAGATATCCTACAAGGGAACTTTAAACCTGACTTCTACCTGAAATACATTCAGAAGGATCTCCGCCTGGCTATTGCACTGGGTGATGCAGTCAACCACCCCACCCCCATGGCAGCTGCAGCCAATGAGGTAACTTGACATCAAGGGGTCCAGGCCCTAGATCCTTGCCTTTAGTTATTATTTCTGTCCTGCTTGCTTAGCTTTTCTTTCCATTTTATGGATCTTGTAGACCCTCCTGCTGCTCAGCCACTTGAGTGTTAGGATTACAGATGTATACCCCCACACCTGACTCTTAAGTTGTTTGTTTGTTTGTAGTTTTTGGTATTTTGGTTTTTCGAGATAGGGCTTCTCTGTGTAGTCTGACTGTCTGGAACTTCTCCATAGACCAAGCTGTCCTTGACGCATGTGCCACCACCATCTGGCTAAATTTTTATATTTTATTCTCACTACACTGAGCCAAGAAAGGAAAAGAACACTGTGTGTAGAATTTCACTATTTCTGTCTTTAAATTAGGATCTGAATTCTTTCTATCTAGTCCTGAAGGAGGAACCCTAGGTCTACCTCTGACATGAGCCATAGTAATTTATTGTTACTATTTCCTTCATGATGTCTTCTTTGCTCTGTGAATTTTTTAGTTTGTCTAGCCAGGTGTGGCAGTAAATACCTGTCTGTATCCTTGGATTGGAGGCCAGCCTGCACAACTTCATGAGAGTCAGTCAGAAATAAGTTTTAAAAGGAAGACTGAAGCTGGGAGGTGGCACACACCTTCAGTCCCAGCACTTATGAGGCAGAGGGCAGCCTGGTCTACAGAGCCAGTTCCAGCCAGGGCTGTTACACAGAGAAACCCTGTCTTGGGGGTGTGGGGGGGGGGAGAACAGGAGTGACTGACGATAACATTTCTTGGTAGAGTGATTGCATAACATGTATAAGACCCTGGGTTCAATTCCTAATGCCACAAAAAAAAAAAAAAAAAAAATGGAAACATAATGTGAGTTTGTGCAGTGGCTGGTTTGTGTTGTTTGGTAATTAATCAAAGTGGTTGACTGTTCACATATTTCAGCTGTGACTGCAGGACAATATCATAGTGCTAGGGTTACAGGTGTACCTGTTTGAATCGTGTCATGTTTACATGGCCTATGGTTGTATGGTCGAGACTTACATTTTTGTCCATCTTCAGTATCCACTTACCAATTACAGTGTTGTCCATTGACATCATTTCATATCATGTAATATGTTATATCACATGATCACTTTTGAGAAGCTTCTTTGGAAAAGGAGTCCCTGTTGTCCTGGCTGCTTCTTTAAGCCTAGGCTAACATATTCTCTCCTATCAATCTCCTAAGTAGGTGGGATTTTAGTTCCCATTTAATTTCTTTTTTTAAATGCTTCTTTAAAAACGATTTATTTTTAATTATGTATGCACATGAGTGCTGGTACCACAGAGACAAAAGATGCTGGATCCCCCAAGAGACAGAGGCAGCTGTAAGCCAACTAAAGCAGGGCCCTCTCCAAGAGAGAACAGCAAGTGCTCTTCACCACTGAGCCATCTCTACACACACACCCTCCACCCACCCCACCCCCACCCTCACCTTACCCCCGCATTTAATTTCTAACCATGAGCTCTTGGCAGAGAATTCCTTTTATATTTGTAGCTTCTTCATAAAATCCATCTTAGATGTGGTTAGGAAGGGTTCTTTGTGGGCTTGTGCTTGGGCGAGCTTCTTAGTGGTTCCAAGTTGTTTCTGCTATGGCTGCAGAATTTTGTTTATTTCACACTGGAACATAGACTTTGAAACCCCTGGAATCATGTAAGTTCAGGGTCTGCACTGCACAAGACCCTGAGTGCAGGTTCCCAAAAGTAGCGCCTCCATTAGCGTGCTGCCCCTCTATTGAAGAACAATTGGATTTGGAGCTGTCCTTTTAACATTTGTTTCTGTCGGTCCCTTTCTTTGTGCCTTCTTTCTCATCTTCTCTAAGTTGTGTGTTTGTGGTAGAATTTCATTTTCATTCATATCTTTGCTTTTTGACAGTACTTTGCTTTTCTGCAATGGTTATTGTCAGTATTCGATGGATAGCCTTAACTTGACCTCAGAATTCATCCTGTACTAACTTGCAAAAATAAAACAAACAAAAAAAAAAAAAAGAAAACCTAACCACCTTGTTCACTTTACCACATACTTGACCCTAACCATAGTTTCTCAACTAGTTCTTCTAGATAGCTATTTCCATCTTTCTGGGGATTTTTTTGTTAAAAATTAGGTTTCTCTGGCATTTTTCCTTTCAGCTGGAAGGCTCCTAAGAGTTTCTTGTCAAACCCGGCAGTAGTGCATACCTTTAATCCTGGCACTCAGGAGGCAGAGGCAGACAGATCTCTGAGTTTGAGGCCAGCCTGGTCTACAGAGTGAGTTTCAGGACAGCCAAGACTACACAGGAAAAAAAAAAAAAAAAAAAGCAACAAAAAATAATTTCTTATCTCATTCCTGCCAGTGATGATTTTTTTAGATGTTGGGCCTAGAAAGCTGTTCAGCTGTGTGCATTGTCCTTTCTGTGTCTCACCCTGTGCATTATAGCCAAGCATATCACCTCAGCAAAACTGGCTACCCTGTTACCTGTCACACAGTAGCTTTGATTCTTTTCAAGCTTTTATATGACTAGAGTCTTGGATGGCTGCTATTGTCAGATTCTTCTCTAGGTTCTGGGAACATGCTGATACACAGGCAGCTTCCCCCCCATCCCCCCCCCCACTTCTTCACATCACTTTTATTTTAATGAAGGAAATAGAAAAATAGGCTGAAGCTTTTAAACAAGTAAAGATTTCAGGGTGTAAGAAATAGAGTTTGGAGGAGGTAGTCTGTACTGTAGAAAATGCTCAGCAGGTAAGAGTTTGCACAGATATAGTGAAAACATGCATACACATAAAATAAACAGCACCTTTAATCCAGGAGGTAGATCCAGGGATCTCTGTAAGTTTGAGGCCAGCCTGGTCTACACAGGGCTGTTACACAGAGAACCCATCTTGAAAAAACAAAATAATTAAACCACGCACGGTAGTGCCTTTCACCTGTAATCTCAGCACTTGGAAAGAAGAGACAGGAGAATCAGGAGTTCAAGATCATCTTCAGTTGTATCTTCAGTTCAAAACAAGCTTAGGGTGTAGACAAAAAATAAAAAGCTGGATGTGGTATCACACATCTTTAATCACAGCTCTCTAGAAGCAAAGGCAGACAGATCACTGAATTCAATGACAGCCTGGTCTACATAGTGAGTTCCAAAACAGCCAGGGCTACATACATAATGGGAGGGTGGGGGAGACAAACATGTGATCATTGTAGGAAAGCCCTGTTACAAACAACAGTAAAACTCAAATACTGGGGCTGATGGCTCAGTAGTTAAGAGCACTGGCTGCTTTTTCAGAGGACCTGGGTTCAATTCCCAGCACCTATAGGGCAGGTCACAACCATCTGTAACTCTAGTTCCAGAGGATTCAACACCCTTTTTTGGCCTCTAAGAACACTGGGCATACAGATGATGTAAAGACATACATGCAGACATGTGAAATAATAAAAAATTTAAATTAAATAAAACAAGATAACAGGTAGTGAGTAAATCACAGGGGCACAGCTGCTATGTTGATGAGGAGCTCAAGGGAGCCTTTGTGAAGTTAGATGCCAACCATTTTTAAGAAAGTATTCCATGCAGCAGGAACAAGAGGGTACATTGGTGCTGGGAACAATAAAAACACCCTGGAGAATTTTCTGCATTGAGGGCTGCCACCATGACTCCTAATGGCACTGTACACGTCATATCTCTAAGTATGTGTAACTCTCTGAGTAAAGCCATTTGGGTTGTGACCATTGCTTCTGCAGATCAGGCTGTGACAGAAGCCCATGTAGGCTGGGGCATTTGCCCCACATAGAGCCAGGATTCAAACCAGGATCCAGACATCCCAGCCAGTCCTGCCTGCTAAGCAAACGGCAAGAATCATCTGGAAGTGTCTCCATGTTATCAGGGCTGAGTCTTCACACATTAGCTCTGAAGCTATAGACTAACATGTACCTCTTTTTTTCCAGGTATACAAAAGAGCCAAGGCACTGGACCAGTCTGACAATGATATGTCTGCCGTGTACAGAGCCTACATACACTAAGCCTTGCCCACCCATCTACCCCTCCCATCTTCCCTCTGGCCCCTCTTCCCAGTGTGGGGTCAGGGTTCTGGGACTTAGCTCTGGACCAGTCACCTGTCTCCATTTCCTTTTATACAGACTTTGAAACTTGCATCAGCACAGTAAACAGCAGCAACTCTCCTTCCCTGAGACCCTGGGCAGGGATTTAAGGATCTCCACAGGTGACTGTGAAGAAGCTCTTGAGCTGGGCATTGGCCCTGCAGCAGGAGGCTGTGTATTCTGTTTCTCTTGTGTTCTCTTTCTCTCTCTCTCTCTCTCTCTCTCTCTCTCTATTCTGTTTCTCTTGTGTTCTCTCTCTCTCTCTCTCTCTCTCTCTCTCTGCCTCCCCCCCCCCTCTCTCTCTCTCTCTCTCTCTCACACACACACACACACACACATTCTCTGTCTGTTTCTCTCTCGCACACCCACCCCAGGATGCAAGCTGCCCAGAAACTGCTGCCTGGCTGTTCTTCCTCCAAGTTTGTCTCAGCCCCCTTCTGGTCAAGGAACTAGAGTTGGCAGGGAGCACAGGAGGCTGTCTCTCAACTTCCCCAGGAAAGGGGCTGTCAGAGGGTCCATGACCCCCACTGGACCCCTGGAAGGAAAGACCCCTGAGCCATAATGAACCAGTAGACTCCCAAAGGAGGCACTGTGGGCCTCCAGCTGAGGAGGATTTTCCTGTAGACACTACCATTATGCAGCAGCTCCCAGAACACTTCTGTGAACTGAAGATAGACAATGTGACCACACAGACACCTCTTCAGGGGGAGCAGAGTCCACAGGCTCTGTTCACTGGCTCAATGGCTAGAGCCTGCTCCTCCCTGGAGGTTTTGTTTGGATTTGCATTCCAGCCCATGGGAAGGGGTCTTGAGGGCACTGGGAGCAGTGGAGTGTGAGGGTGGCCACTTCCTTTTTCCGTTAGTGGCAGTCTCTAGCTGGGCCACCTGTTCAGCCTGCTCTACACAGGTCCCCTGCATGCCCCTCTTTCCCTTTTCCTCCCATGGAGATAGTATTTCTGTCCCGTCCTGTTTTGACCCAGACCCAGCCTGACCACCAATAATAAACATTTCATAGATGAGCACTTCATAGGCTGGGCTTTTGAGGTGGAACCTCACTTCTGCCAGTATCAATGTTCCAAGTCCTGGGTTTGTTGGGACAGAAGAGACTGGGCCTTATTCTACTAACCTAACTGCTCCTCAGAGGTGGAGCCAGTCATCCGTAGGCCCTAGCATTTCTCCTTGGAGAGGGACCAGAGAGGCTTAAAATGTCAAATGAGAGGAATCACCTGAGGTGTCTGCCTTCCTCCTCGTGAGTTTGTGTTTCCAAAGCCACAATTTGACTTTTCCACTGGGAAGAACCTGGGATAAAGATCTCAGGACATGGGCATGGAGCAAAGAATGCTTGTGGGATTCTGCACAATTGCTCATTCACTGGGAAGCTGAACCTGTTTCTGTCTGAACACATCCTGTCTTGGTCCTGGGTTTTGGGGGTGGGGAAGATGCTGTAAGGAAACCGGTTAGTCAATGTTGTCTTAATATTGTTGACAATTCTGTAAAGTTCCTTTTTATGACTATTTCTGTTTAAGCTATTTCACCTTTCGTTTTGAAATCCTTCCCTTTAAGGAGAAAATGTGACATTGTGAAAATGCTTGTAAGAAAGCCCCTCCTCCCTCTTTTCCTTTAAATGACAAATCTAGGTAATTAAGGTTGTGAATTTTTATTTTCGCTTTGTTTTTAATGAGCATTGTCTTTCGGAATAGGATTGTGTGATAATGTTTAAATGGCAAAAACAAAACATGATTTTGTGCAATTAACAAAGCTACTGCAAGAAAAAAGAAAAATAAAACATTTCTTGGTACCACAGCTGTGACACTTGTGCCAGAACACTTTGGGGACCTAGAGCGGGAGCCAGAGGGCGTCCATGTCCAGGCCTCCTTCCAATGTCAGCCCATCTGAGTCCTCCATCTGCATCCCTGCTGGGCGGACGCCACCTGGCGGAGCAATACAGGGACAGCGCAATGAGGGACGGCCCCGCTGGCCAATCAGTAAGCAATAGGGAATAGGTCGGTTGCCATAGCGGCCCGCCCTTACTTTGGAACACAGCTTAAGGGTTGATGGGCGGTGAAGCGTGGCCAGTCCGCCTTCTGGTGAGTCAGGATCCGGAGCCATAGCTGGTCTTGTGAGGCGGAATCGGCTTGGGGGTGGAGCTTGTGCCCAATCTGCCAGTCAGTCACGGGAGGAGGAGAGGGGCGGGCGCGGCGCACCAAGCTCCAGACTACAGACCTCAGAGACGGCGCGGGGCCGCGACTATGGCGACCGCGATGGCTGCGAGCGCCGCGGAGCGGGCAGTGCTGGTGAGACGCGGGCGGCGGGTGGCGGGTGGCAGGCGGCGGGGACAGACGGGTTTGACGCTTAACTGTCCGTAGGAGGAGGAGTTCCGCTGGTTGCTGAACGCTGAGGTGCATGCCGTGCTAAGACAGCTGCAGGACATCCTCAAGGTAAGGGCCGGTCACGCCCGGCCTGCCATGCCTCTTTCCACCGGTCCGCAGCGGCGACTGCTGAGCGTGGGGCGTTCAGGTACCCACGCTCTCAGAAGAATTACAGTGCAGATGCAGGCGGCATGCGTGTGTGCCGCGAGGTCTTAGACCCCAGAGTTAACACGGGATTTTGAGTGGGGACTGCTTTGAAACGGTGACAGCTTGTAATCCCAGCGGCTAGAGGATCATGAGTTAGAAGCTCGCCATGGGCTACATACATCATGAAACACTGTCTCAAAACAAAAACTGATAATCCGGGCTCTGAAGGATCCCCCTCCCTTCAGTGTTATCTCAGCCAAGTTACCCACATCTCTGAGCCTGTACCCTCCCCCAACCAGGCTCACAGAGCTGTTGTGAAGATGAATAAACCGTCTCCCAAAATGTCTAGCACGGTGATCTAGGAAAGCATGACTGTGAATACTGCATGATTCCATGCCTCTGCCCCCAATATCCTAATACTGCACTCCAGTTAGCTAGGTAATGTGCCTCTCCGTTCTGTGTTCCTACCTGGCTGCTCCTGGTAGGTACTCTGGACCATGGAATGAACAGGTGTAAGCTTGGAGGATTGGTGGGGCAAAGGTAGAGGAGCCAGGTCAGGCCTGCCCACCTTGTCCTTTCCCTGGCTAATCTGACAAGGTATCTAGGGCCTTAGAATGGAGCACTGACCAGACTGAGGTGTTGGGGATGCCCTATCTTCCACAGGAGGCCTCTCTCCGCTTTACTCTCCCAGGACCCAGCACGGAAGGACCTACCAAACAGGAGAACTTCATTCTAGGCAGCTGTGGGTGAGCTGGATTGGAAGGAGCTTTTGGGAGGGTACTCTTGGAGCACCTGGGGAAGGAAATGCTGGTAATGCTATGAGACAGCCTGCAGGGGGAGGGGGCAATAGCAGGCACCCCTCTGACTCCTGTGTGTTATAGCACAGACCAGGTGAAGGGTGTGCTGACTCTTCAAGGGGATGCCCTCAGCCAGGCGGTGAGTTATGTCTCCACCCCCTCCCCCGGGGGCCCTATCCATAACAGTCCTGCTGGTGATGAGGATGGCCTCTTAGCTCTGCCACCAGCTAGCTGCATGACCATGGGCAGGAACCATGTCCTCTCTGACAGGCAGCCCTCACACTACCTCATGAGACAGGTGTATAGATTGTATGAGGGACAAGAAATGGGTGGCTTTACATTTAGCTTAACCTGGCATCTGGACTGTGTGCATTGTGAGCATTAGCAGCTTGGGCATGCTGGTCCTGGATCAGAGTTGAAATGGTCAACATCTGAGCTATGCACTATGCAAGGCCTCAAGGCATGGGGACAGTCCCTCTCTGTGCCTCAGTCTTGATTTTACAGCACTCCCCTCCTCTCCAGACCTTCCCCTTTCTCAACTTCGTTTCCCTTTCACTGCTTCCTGGTTCTCCTGGGCCTGGTTTCCTATTTCTTGACATTCCTGATCACTTAACCCCAAAGTGAGGGCTCAGCCACCCATCTACTGCATTCCTGGCTTGGGGGTTAAGAAGCACAGGGATACCTCTGCCTGCTTATCACACTCTGGCCCTTAGGATGTAAATTTGAAGATGCCTCGGAACAACCAGTTGTTACACTTCGCCTTCCGGGAGGACAAGCAATGGAAGCTACAACAAGTGAGATCCCTTTCCCAGCACAGGCCCAAGCACAGGCCTCCCTGGTGTTGCCATCCATGGGGAAGTCTGGCAGTAGGGACTTGGACCACAGCAAACATAGGCTGTTTCCTAGCAGAACTACTAGGGTGGTGGTGCTTTAGGGGCCCACAGCCTGCTCCACATGAGGGATGTGAAACTGCTCTACCTTAATGACTTTGGCCATGTGAGGACAGCTAAAAGTCCCTTTGAATGTCACTTACTCAAGAGGAGCTTCCCATGTACCTGGGATTATATGCAGGCCTTCTGCCTACCCATAGGCCATAGGACACACAGGGGCATGAATACACACACCCTGACCTGAAACTGGTCCATACCTTAGGGTCTTTGCCTATGTGTGCTGGCCTTTCTGAAGCCCTACTCTTTCCTACTCCTGTGGGTTTTTTTTTTTTTTTTGGGGGGGTTGGTTGGTTGGTTGGTTGGTTTCTCTGTATATCCCTAGCTGACCTGGAACTTTCTCTATAGACCAGGCTGGCCTTGAACTCAGAGATCTGCCTCTGCCTCTGTCTCATGAATGCTGGGACTAAAGGTGTGCACCACCACCCACTCCTGTGGCCTTTCCTAATTCACAGGTCTCTCCCATCCTTGCTTGTTTCCTCCCTTGATCCCTGCAAGCTTATTACTTTGTGGCTGTACTAGGGGTTGTCTTTTGCAGGGCCAAGAGCCAGTGTACCTTGGCAGCCAGGATTGTCCAGGGCCTGGCCATTCAATTTCAAAGCTACAGCTCTGGAGGGTACTGTGACCATAGGTGGCACTACCTCCTCCTGAGAGGTTTGCCCATCAAGTAGGGTCCTATGTTAGGGGATCAGGCAGAGAACCCAGAAACGGGACTGCCCTAAAACTAATCGACTTTGGTTATATGGGTGGTGGGGCTATTCCCAGATCCAGGACGCCAGGAACCACGTGAGCCAAGCTATTTACCTCCTGGCAAACCGGGATGAGAACTACCAGTTCAAGACAGGAGCCGAGGTCCTCAAGGTGACTCTTCCTGTCCTACCCACTTACCCTGAACAGTGCCAGTCCCCATGTGCCCAGGCTTCACTGGAAGCCACTCCTTCTCCACTCAGTGCTCACGGGTCTGGCCACAGTTATTGGCTTATAAGCTAGATCGCAGTATCAGGCCTGGTTCCGGTCCCGGGGCCTCAATGTGAGATATGCAACCTTAAGTTCTTTGCTACTCTGATCTCCCATTTGCTCGTGTGTTAAAAGCTCATCTGTAGTGATACCTGTACTAATTCAAGCAAAGTGCCCCATTCCCTGAGATCTACCTGTTAGTAGTCCTATTGCAGTGGTGGTAAAAACCTGTTACAGAACAAGAGCCACAGGGTATGTGGGGACAGCCAACTCAGATGCCTAGGACTCTAGCTTTTTTTCCAAGAGCCCCCAGGTGATAGGCCCTCAAAATGGCAAGTACCCCTGCTAGGGTTGCAAAGTTTAGGCCTGGGAACCATCGTCACCTGGCAGGAGCAGAAACTACAGATGCTGCTCACTGATGCTAGGGGGTGGGACCTGAGGGTCCCCACTGCTACCACCTAAGTAGCAGCAGTCACCTACCCCTTCCCAGCTCATGGATGCTGTGATGCTGCAACTGACCAGAGCCAGAAACCGGCTCACTACCCCAGCCACCCTCACCCTACCAGAGATTGCTGCCAGTGGCCTCACGGTTAGTAACCCACAGACAGCCCTTGTCCCAAGAGAAATGTCCCTACTGAGAAGCCCAGCCAGTTAGAGTTCTGTGCCTGAACAGTTTTCTGGGTTAAGTTCTTGGCCTCCATCCTACATCCTGCCCCCAATGTGAACCCAGTTTCCAGCCAGTGGTTTCCAACCTAGCAGCACATGGAGATTATGGAGACACATGGGAGCCTTTAGTACCCCAGCCTATGGAGATAGGGGATAGGGCTGGGGTCCCCTCCCCAGGGTAATTCCAGACCCTGTAGTGGTACAGTCTAAAGTGGGAGAGGGCCTCATCCCTGCTCCCTCCTCCCCCCAGCGGATGTTCGCACCTACCCTACCCTCTGACCTGCTGGTCAATGTCTACATCAACCTCAACAAGCTGTGTCTCACCGTGTACCAGCTTCACGCCCTGCAGCCCACCTCCACCAAGGTAAAGTTCTACCTGCCTCCCAGTGACCCCCACACCAGCCCTGCTGGAGACTCTCCACCTAGACCTCACAGTCTCTGTTGCTTCTGCCTAGAACTTCCGCCCCTCTGGAGGTGCAGTGCTCCACAGCCCTGGGGCCATGTTGTAAGTATATAGTAAGATGTCCTAAAGCCCTTTCCCTCCTACCCTCTTTGCATCTTGGGGACCAGGTCCAGACCTACTCTCAGGAATCCACTTCTCATCTTTTCCCCAGTGAGTGGGGCTCACAGCGCCTAGAGGTGAGCCATGTACACAAGGTAGAATGTGTGATCCCCTGGCTCAATGACGCCCTGGTGTACTTCACTGTCTCCCTGCAGCTCTGCCAGCAGCTCAAGGATAAGGTGTGTCCGGGGCATATGGGGAAGGGGAGGCAATTCAGGGGCCACATCACACTTCCCAAGTGCCCCCAAGTTGTACTGTACACACTAGTTGACTGGCAACAGTTCCTAGACAGGCCCCTCCTCTCTAACGTGGCACCCCACCTGGGCTCTGGGGGATAGCACCCACTGACCACACCTGT